CCTTCCCGTTCCACCTCTCTCTCTCTCGCTCTCCTGGCTCTCTTTCACTCTGGCTTAGGCACATATTGCTGCTTGTCTGAATTAAACAAAGATTGCCCCCTACTTTAGTCTTCACAGACTGTTGGAGTAAGTGCTGTTAGCGAGCACCTATGACGTCTGGTATGCCACACACACACAAAGATACTTTTATAGCCACATAAACTACCGAGGCAAGTACTGTTAGTCAGCACCTATTAGGCTGGCCAAGTATATGAGAGGCTGGTATGGTCATTACCACGCCCGGCTGCCTTTGTCTCCTCAGTACATACACAATACCAGGTACACATTTACGGCTGAGTTAACCTAGACGAGGCCCAGGACAAGTTCTGGTATCACTGATATTCGTGACGGGTAATTGAATTCAGGTCGCCAGATTAGTATCGCAGTGTCTATATTGTTTAGCACCAGCTGTGTGTAAGTATGTTGAACTTCTTTCACACCGTACATTGCCAACCGTGCTAATCGGAGGTGCTGGGAAGGACAAGAAACTAAACACAAAAATCTGTTTTAAAGAAATTAGTTTTCAATCTCGATGTATAACCTAAACAATACGGTTGGGGTACATGCTGTTAACGAGCACCGACAAAGGCCAACAAGCAACATGGATAGGTGATGGGTCAGCAGCACACCCAGCCACTCTCGCCTTCCCAATGCCACTGTTTATGGTTAGGTATGCGCCAGGTACTCATTTAAGGCTGAGTCGACCTCGGGGAGGCCCAGAGCCGGTTTATATATTCATCACTGATGTTGGCCGTGAGCAGGAATTGAACTCGGGTCGTTAGGTTCATAGTTCAGTGCGCTAACCACTACACTACCGCTTCCCCCGGACAGAGAGACACACACACAAACATATGCCTAACCCTTCATGATAATGATCATATATTTTTCTCCATCGCACATTTAAGTTGCAAGTATGACAGCTATACAAAAATACACACAAACACACACAGTTATTTTCCCTTATATTCAATCGTATCACATGCTTCATCTCACCCTCTAGAGCACTGCATTGCCCGTCTGACATACATATGGCCATACTCAGACACACACATGAAAAGGCAGATCTTTTCCCATACAGCAATTATTCTTTTAATTTCATTGTTTTGAGTTTTGCCAGCCATGCAGATAAAAAAAAAACTGCTGCGGTAACATACAGCACTGTGGTGGGCGGGCGCCTGCAATCCGGCACTTGGGGCTTGTGTATCATGGGGAGATCGTCACGTGTTGTGAGACTTCCAACGCGCCGGGTTGCAATGTGGTCAAGAGATGGCAGTCCAGCAAATGTGTTCACGACCTGTCTGTGTGAATTGTTGAGTGTTATCCCCATGCACGCGGGGGGTATTCTCTGGGCACACTGGTTTCCTCCCACATGCAAAGCAAAACCACGAAAAAGACATTTGTTTAACATCTTAACGGAGGGCCCTCTCGAGACTCATTGAGGCTGCATTGAATATACAGGGTGTTGCAAAGCAATGGACGCGATTTGAAATCGCTATATCTCTGAAACCACGAACCGCCCATGAATGAAACTCTTACCACTTGAAAGGGCGGGACGTAGAGAGGGCGGGACGTAGAGTTTTGAATTAATTACCGCGAGATGCCTCTCCCAGCGCACAAACAGCCCCTAGCCTCCGTCATTCGCAAGACGGTGACCCCGCAACACACAAGGCGTTTTGCGTTCTGCAGTTCAGCAAGACTGAATCCGTAATTGCGGTGCAGCGTGCGTTTCAACGGCGTTTTAGCATTGATCCGCCAATGTCAAAGAGCATGGTGGTGTTTTTGTGCCACCATTATCGACTAATCTGGATGACCTCAAAAACAGAATCACGGCAGCGGTGATTTCAGTGGAAGAAGACACTTTGAGAGGCGTTTGGGACGAATTCAATTATCGTCTCGATGTTGTCCATACAGGAGGTGGAGGGCACTTAGAGTATTTATAAAATGGTTAGTAAAACTCGATAACTCATTAACTCGTTGGTAACTTTTTGTGTAATTGTAACATGTTGCCATCGCGAAATATACTGCTTTGAAATTGGGTCCATCATTTTAAAACACGGATATTTTTAGCACTCATCAATGCAGAGGATGCTAGGAATCTGGTGTCAAGAATAGGCGAAGCAACTTTGTCAGTTCAGAATAGAAAACGGCAGGAATTGCACATGTAACAGGAAGCGAAGGTTGCGATGGGTGGGGCGAATATTGAGAATGGAAGAGGGCAGGTGACCGGAATGGGCGTCAGATTGGCACCCCAGAAGTTGGTGGCCGAGCAGAAGAAGACCTGACTGTAAGAGTTGGACCCGTGGTGGTCGGTTATCATCCGTGCAAGAACTGCTGGGAAATGTGGCATAAGGAAACAATGGTGAGGTGCATTATCATCAACACCATTGGCTGTGATTATAGATTTGAAGCTTTCGTGACTGCAAGGATTCATATTCTTAGGTTTTTTCGGTAAAGTCACGTAGGTAAAAAAAATACAATTTATAAAAGTAAAATAAAATAAAAAAAAATCACTTATATTATTTTTTTAATTTTACTTTTATTAATTTAAATTTAAATGTTTTTACCTACGTGACTTTACCGAAAAAACCTAAGAATATGAACCATTGGCTATGACGACCTCTTGACCTTGACCATTTGCCGACGGATACCCGCATTGACTATGCAATGGCAGATGAGGGATCTGGCATAGGGAAGGAAGCGAAGGCGAGGTGCGATGGCGTGGACGCCATTGGCAACCGCCAAACTTGATTACGGTATGCATGGCACGCAGCCGCACACAATCCACGGCACGTTATATAATGCCATCGAGTCTATCGGTGATTGAGTGTTGTCCATCGCACAAATGATTGTAAAATTAAAGATTTCTTCCAACGATAAAATGGACCGTACTGCCCCTGCTTATGATTTCCCCAACAGCTGATAGATCTGGCAGAAGGAAAGAAGTCACGGCAAGGTGATGACCTCCTGGCCTTCACTAAGGCCCCGCAAGGCAAACAAACTACACACAATACGCTGGACATTACAGGGCCATAGATGTGTGTCATCCATACAAGTGGATGCGTTTTTGTGACGATTACTTTTAAAACACGCGTTATTATTTTTAAACATTGCATCATCACACCACGAAATGGGATTGTCTGGCCCTCCCATACACATTCATCAGTACGCATATGTTTATTTCTAACAATGGCATGTATGCATTCATTTATTTCGTATTTGATATTACTTTAGGAAATGAAAGAGCAAGATATCTGGTGTCCTGGTTTATCACAATTAACCAATGTGTGCAATAACGCGAGGGGAACGTAACAGCATATGGATGGTTGTTAGTCAACGAGTCTCTGTCTCTCTGCCTCCCCCCCACCCCTCTCCTCCCCCCCAATGTCCCCACCTCTTCACTCACTCCCGCATAGCGGGCCCGCGTTCTATTTTGATCTGGCAAAGACAAAAGTGCGTGTGCTGCACACAGACACATGGACACACACACACACATGTGCATATATATACACACACACACACGTGTGTGTATATATATGCACACACACACTTGCACACAGCTATGTGAACACAGACAAATACGTAAATATATAAAGACAAAGACCACCCGTATAGTCTTAATGGACTATTGGGGCAAGAGATGTTAGCGAGCACACACATATATATGCACACGCGCACTTACACAGACACACACATATATTGTATGTTGTCATATACACATACATTAATGAAAATGCACACACTCCGATACAATGACAGACACGAATAACTACGCAGACGCCACAATAATAATTCCACATCTGCACACCATCACACACACGTGCTTACAAAGCACGGCCAGACGCGCCTCCGATGAGCGCGATTGCCCACGTACGGTGCGAAAGAAGTTCAGCATACGTACCACACATTTGCATCCACACGCATATTCACATTCATACAAACATAGTGCCACCACACACGTGTAACCAGTAAACGCACGTTGATTTAAAACAAAAGAACACAACACATACGGACATGCTACTGCCTCGCACACAAAGACAAAGCTCCCCGTGTAGCCAGGGGCGGAGTGTTGTGTAAAGTGAATGATTCGCACGGCGCATCTACGAGGAGTGGTGCGTCCCCTGTACCGAGATTGACGGACCCCACCAGGCACCCGTGTAAGGCTGAGTCGACCTAGGAGAGGTCCAGGAGCGGTTTCAGACATTCGTCATTCATTGTTCGTGAGCGGGAATCGAACTCGGGGGCCAAGGTTCGCAGTGCGGTGATCACTGTTCTACTGCTCGCCAGGATGTACACACACACAGACAAACACTCCTACAAACTCAGACACATCCTCTCGATTAGCACTTGCAACGAATAGTATACACACGTACAAGAGAAAGATCCCCCGTGTGGCCTTAACAGACATCTGGTGCAAGTGCTGTTAACGGGCACCTATGAAGGTCCGCACGGCACACGATGGGGTGGGTGACCAGCACCACGCCCGGCCGCCTTTGTATCCCCGCATCGGGTATTCGTTTTAAGGCCAAGTCGACCTAGGGGAGACCAGGAATTGAACTCTACCGGCTGAGCTCGTAGCGTAGTGCGCTAACCACTACGCTGTATTATCACTCACACACATGTACACGAGGAGCCACACTCCCACATACGTGCATACACGCACGGACACACGCATTTTTGTTACACATGCACATTGGTTAGTGTACGCACACGTGTACACATTGGCACAGGCACGCGTACACGCAGACGCGCACGCGCACACACGTGGCACGCGCGCGCGCGCGGGGCCACACATCCCGTAAATAGAGGCTAGGATGGACCTCGCCAGGGACACTCCTCCCTCCAGCTCCAAACCTCCACCCCCATTCCACCAACTCGGTCTCGTCCACGTCTCCCCCCCCCCACACATCTCCCCACCCTCTTCATCTCTACCCCACGGCACCCCTACACAGACCCCCCCCCCCACCACTCGTTCCTCGTTCCCTGATCGCGCCGTCCACACATCAGCACCTCCTTCAGCGGCAGCATCTGTTCGTGTGCGCGCCGTCTATGCCGAGAGCGCACACAGCGAGGCCGGCGCGAGAGGTAACGGCAGTCAGTGCGCGTTCACTCACTCACCTGGGACGTGCCACTCACTCGGGGACCCTTAACTCACTCGGTCACTCACGCGCGCCTGATTGCTCGCTCGCTCGCTCACGTCAGGTTTGAGACACTCACTTTGCTTAAGTCGCTCATCCACCCATGTGAGCATTCAAGCAGTTTCTCGCGCACGCGAAACGCTCGCTCACCCACCTGGTCTGTCGATCTCCCTTAATCTCTCACTCACTCGCCTGATCACTCATCTGTTCGCTCACTCGACTACTCACGTGCTCACCCATTTGGTGTCACTCACTTATCTGAGACACTTACTCGGTCACTTACTTGATCACTCACTCAATGAATTGATCGTGCACTCACCTGGTCACCGCCTCACATGATCATTGACACGATCAGTCATTCCATATGGTGATTTTACCCATATGGTCACTCTGTCGCTCACCTGATCACCCATTAGTCCGATCATTGACGCATCTCGTCACACTCGCCCGATAACTAACTCACCCACTTGGTCAATCACAAACTTATCGTTAATTCACTCGCATTCTCACTCATTGATTCTCTTCATATGAACTCACTTGGTTATTCGTTCACTCAGTTGATCACAAACTCACATTGATCACTCGCTCAGTCACCCGCTCGTTCACCCAAGCCGTCACTTCTTCACTCATTCAATGATCCTTATCACTCGCCCGCTCGCTCATCTCAGAATTCGCTCGTCCACTCGCCGTCTCGCTTATTTAGTCGCTCGCTCGTTCGCTCCCTAGCCCTACCGCACTCGCTATCCCTCCATCGTATTCACTACCCAATCGATCACAGGTCCATCCTCTTGCTCATTACGCAAGGACCCAATGCCTCGCTCTCAGTGAGTCCTTCCCTCCCCATCTCTCTCAGGCACGCATTCACACGCGCGAACATCGCCACCAAATTTCGCAATTAAACCCCAACTATTTGACGCACTCCTATACTCTAAATTAAAGCACCCTCCTGATTATCCAATCATTCACATCTACTTGTGAACACGATCGTATCCACTCATGTGCACTTGACATTTTACTCACATGCACTATGCACTCAGCAACTCACATTCACTCACCAACTCACATGTACCAACTAACTTACATGCATTCAATATACACACAGCATATCTCACTCATTTACTTATTCATATTCACTCACGAACATTCACACCCACTCGCATACATTCGCAACAACACAAATAACGCAACACGTTTCGTCAATAACAGTGCCTTAAAAAGGGAATATGTGACGTTTCGGGCAATGCCCCTTGATATATTTGCATATAAGTCATTCACATGGTCTTACTAAGTCACTCACACATGTCTCATTTTTTTTATTATACTCGTTTTATGAATGTAAGTAAGTTTTAACCTGTTTCTATTATCGCTTCATAATTGTAACATTAGTAGTATTGTCTAATTATGACTATGACAGGCTATACAGGTTACCATATACAGGGTCATACAACATAAAAAAAAATAACGCTTTAAGATTATTTCAGCTGCATTACCATTGCAGTCACGTTGAATGCATTTCTTAATGACAATCGTAGACATAGCTTCGTGATTTTATCAGGAAGCCACATTCATTATGTCCACCCACCTGAGCGCATATTTGCGATAATAATACGTGGTTACTCATGGACTTATTTACCCACGGAAGTCACATTGAGTCATCGGACAGTTTTTTTTTTATCCCGCGAGGTTTCTTGCAACATTGTATTTTTAATTTTGAACGTTTATAAAAGTGGGAGGAAACCGTAGCAACCGGTGGAAGCCCCACGTGTACAAGGTAGGCAACGCTCCATTCCCGTACAGATGGAAACAGATGGCGATTAGTCCACTTGCTGTACTGCCATTTCCTGGCGTGCCAGGGTATGGAACCTCCACGCCCGCGGGAAGGGAGTTTCACGACGTGTGTGCGATCCACGAACGGTCGCTCGTCCCCACAGTGCTGGATTACAGGCCATGTGCATAGCCGCTACAGTCCGGCTAAAAACAATCACACTAACACACAAAAAAACTACAGCACATTGGAGACGTCACATTTAACGAAGGTCGGGTTGAGCTGCCGGGGATTTCGAAAGTGTCACTGAAATCGTCGACCGCTTATGCCCTCGGTGAAGGAGGGCCGGCTCTTGCGAGTGAGGTTCGTCTGTGTGTAATGACATTCTGATGAGGAATCAATATCCATCCTTTATTTTGCCGGGTTGTTGTTCGTCACAGTTGGTGAGCACAGCCCGCCAAAGCATCCCCGAACGCCCAATCGGCCAGCAACAAACAGCACAGCCGAAGTTAGAACAGATGAGAGTTACCATCGTACGCTTCCTGAATTGCGCAAAGTTATAATAGGTTGGGAATAGAAGCCCAAAGTGAAATGGTGTGACCTGCAGTGTGGTGGTCGCACACACACACAGTGTGGATGCGACGAGAGGGTCTGGTAGACGGAGCCCTCCGCATGTGTGGGTGGAATCAACAAGTGAAGCCCACGGATACAGGAGCCTTGGTGGGGAGCAGTAAAAGATTGGTATTGGGCAGAGGTCGCAACCGGGTACCCGATACCCGTACCCTACCCGATACCCGGCTACCCTTACCCGGCCGGGTACGGGTACCCGTTTGCGACCCTGGTGCGGCCGGGTACGGGTACGGGTAGACCGTGAGTCACTTGGTGAGTAACTGTTTGTCACTCATTTCCCAACGTCTTGTCTATTCTCACAATTCAAGTTCCTAGAATCAACCCACCCGCACCTGCAACATGGCTTCATCCCAGAGGTCGCAATCAGGTACCCGATACCCGTACCCTACCCGTACCCGGCCGGGTACGGTACGGGTACGGCCGGGTACGGCCGGGTACGGGTACCCGTTTGCGACCCTGGTGCGGCTGGGTACGGGATAAGGAATCAAAACCCGTTTGCGACCTCTGGTACTGGGGGAGGCGACTGGCCGCCAGTGACCACGTGACGATTGGGATTCGGAAGGATCACTGCCACGTGGGTAGGGCGGGTGGTGGATCGTGTGAAGGTTGCGACCAAAGGCTCGCACTAATGCGCATGCACAATGTACGTTGACTCATTAATCCCGTCCCCCCTGCCCAACTTTGTGTAAGAGCGCAGAAGCGTGGTCACCAGCATCTTCGCCTCTATATAAGGAACGAATCAAGTGGACTTCTCCACAAATCTGGCTGTCGCCCGATGAAGCTAGTTGTAATAACTGGCGAAACGTCGTACTCAGATTGTAAATGTTGTGGCTTGGCTCTCCAACACACCGGTGTACTGTACTAGTGACGAATTGGCACGTTCTGTTTGCGTGACAACCCTTACTAGTTGGCTGTGTCGGGTGGTGGCGGGTTTTAACGACACAGTTATATATTTACGCGATCTAACCCAAAAAACACCTCTATTATGGATGGCGTCATTGTTTGCAGACAACTCTTGCACAGGGTGAGGTGGGTTTTTTTTATGAGCAGTACAGCAAGTGGGTCACGAAAAGCCTCCCACTTTGACATTCAAGAACTCCACTTATCTTACAAACGCAATATACACGTAGGTGATTGTGAGAGGATGACGTAGATTAATGGAAAGAGAACTGAAGTTGGGCAGAAATATAATAGTCTATGATTACAAAACATTTTAAAACCATTTATTTGTTTATAATTTGGGTCCCCAAACCAAGGCCGTAGCCATGGAGTCAACATTGGGGGGGGGGGGGGGGATCTTCCAGGGGGTCTGGAGGTCCCCCCCCCCCCAGAAAAAAATAAATCTAAATTTTTAAACGAATTTACTGCCATTTCCTACCTAAAATATAAAAAAAAATCACTAACACATAGGATGGATAATTGGTTCTTTACCCTTCTATCTGGCAACAAAACTGACACCTTTTTGCAAGGAGTCATGTTTGCATAGACCGCAATACCTGCAGTCATAAATACAAACAAAAGACATAACTCTGATAATGTGCACTGTCCCTGAAGTTGATTGGTCCACACCCGAGACAGCTTTCCTTCGAGCCTAGTCTCATATGGGTTGGACCATATGAGACTAGGCTCGAAGGAAAGCTGTCTCGGGTGTGGACCAATCAACTTCAGGGACAGTGCACATTATCAGAGTTATGTCTTTTGTTTGTATTTATGACTGCAGGTATTGCGGTCTATGCAAACATGACTCCTTGCAAAAAGGTGTCAGTTTTGTTGCCAGATAGAAGGGTAAAGAACCAATTATCATATTTTTACTGGCAAATGAGGTCCCCATAACATAGGATGGACTTTTTATTTATTTTTTACAATAATGTCTCATAGTGTATTGTATTACATTGCTCTGATTTTTTACTTTTTTACCTTTTCTTGTTTCATTGTATGTAATGGCAGAGATTAGGGATTAATAAAGTACAACCATAACCACAATCATATAAACAAAACTCTATTTTATAGCAATATATTGCGGAGGGACATTTTGAGCATATTTGAACACGAAGGCTGATAGAGTAGGCTCGCCCAAAAGTATAATTTTGGAGTGAGTCTACTTGATTCGCTGTAATTATATTAGCTGGGAAAAAAATACATACCATTACATTTCATCAGTGAACAAGAGTAGCCCGCCTCCCATGGAGTGTGGCACTCCCACTGTCAGGAACTCGTGCAGTGTAGCACACACGTAAATGTTTGTATCAATCAACCCAGACGCCCCTCGTCGGTCCATAATTTTGAGGGTGTTTTTGCTCCGGGCTTGTTCCACGTCATTTGCTGTTTTCCCCCGTCTTGGAAATCAATCTACTTTTCTAATAAAAAAAATCTAACTACCATCCCCCAGCAGGTGCCTCTTGAAAATTAATGACGAGCTGATGAATGATGAGTAGCTTTCAGTCAAGAATTGGGTCTAAGTGGGATATTTTGATTTCGCTGCTATGAAATTATTAGTTAATGCTGCTGCTGCTGCCTTAGCACAACACAAAAACGCAACACATTAGTTTTTT